CGGAGGGCGCAAGCCCCATTTCCCGAAGGGCCTACCGCGCCCCGCCTCTCTCCGGGAGACTTCGGGGGCTGTCCTAGGGCGGCGCCGCGAAGGCACCCCTCGCTGGCGCCTCCCGACTGCCGACTCGCTCGCTTGGCCTCATTAACCCGCGTCCCCAGTTTCCCCGGGGCCACCGGCTCCCCTGCTCGGGCGGGTATTGCGAGAACTCCCTCCGCCCTCAACTCCTTTCTTGGCAGAGCTGATAGGATCCGTCACACACCCACGACTTTTAAACCCGGGTCCTGGGTACGGGTCGGAGCCACGCCTCGGACCATGATCTCTGACCCGTCCCTGTACTTTCACTGGATCACTAGTTTCTTCAGGATAGAGACAGACTTATTTACCTACGTGCCTAGAAACGACTGACTAACCCATCACCACCCCTCCTCCCAGCCCGCTTTTAGGCTCCTGGGGCCAAGCGGCTGTAACAATCCTGCTTCAGTCCGAGCTCCCTGGAGGCTGCAGCGGGAAATACGCCCGATTTGCCCAGGCTGCTAGGGTGACCCTTACTCTTCAGGCCAGCGGGTTGGCGCAGTTTCAGTTTGTGGCCACTAGGTGTCAGCCTGCACTCACCGTAGCGTGGGCTCGATACCAACCCCCCTCCCCGCCGCCACCACCACCACCAAAAGAAACGAGGTAGTTGCTTTTGGGGGAGAGTTAGTCAACCAGACTCTGGAGAACAGAGGAGCGGCTAAAAGCCAGGCCGGTAGTAGGGGATAGGAAAAGCGGGGGCGGGGATTGTAGTTGGGTGCGAGGGAAAAGGTGCTGTGAGAGGGAGGAAAAGCCAGAAACCCTAGGCCCAGAGACCCAGGGGCTGAAAGGTTTGGGTGTTTGCTTTGCCTCCCCTGATGGCTCCAAGGTTACACATTAAACCCTGTGGGGCTCCTGGGTCAACCAAGTCCCGATCGGTTTCTAGGTGAGAGCACGAGTGTCCCAGGTGAGCGGCCTTCCCCCTTGGCGCTTGCTCCTGCTCCCCTTTGCTCACAGGGCAACTTTGTCCTCCAGCCAACACCGGCCCGAGTCCGCAAGGGGCGCTTCTGGGGCCCTTCTAGTGGTCACTACACTTGGGCAGGTTTGGACACCCTTTTGAGGGGTGGGATGGGAGCAGAAGATAAACACCCCATTCCTCACCCGGAAATAGGGACGCCATCTCTTAGCTGATCACCATTCTCTTGGTCCTTAACTGAGCTTGTATTGACTCGTGCAGAGCAGGAGGTGCCAGGGAGACACCTGAAATTAAATTCACTTCTGATCAAGGCCCTAAACAATCGTACTAACCCTTGGGCAGAAGCCTAGAACCCGTGTCGGCCAAACGGCTGTCTTTCCTCTTCTCCCTGACACAAGGAGGTTCTCCTAGCTTGTGTGTGTGCCGCTAAGGGTTGAGAGTGCTGATAAGCGCGATAGTCACTAGTTGGGACAGCTTGGAAACCATGTTACATTCTCCGTAGGTAAATCTACTTGCACAGGTCGGAGTTTGCCTAGTCCCTCCCTAGGCAAACAAAACTGACTGAGCTCTCTGCCCCTTGGAGCTAGAGCGACGCTCTCGGTTCAGTTTTGGTGGTGTGTATCGTTTGCGTGCCAATGAGATTCTGCTTTCTTTCCGAAACAGAGTCACTAGTGGTCAAATAGAGGGGCAGAGAGAGGTCAGTCCTTGCTTCCCATCCTCACTCGGCTTGTGCAGGGTACCTCTCGGGTCTTAGGAAGCTTTGCGAGGGCCGAATGCGGTCACACGTGTGGGAAGGTACCGTGCAGGCCATTGCGAAGGGCGCCCAAGAAATGGTATATCGCCCCTTCCTTCCTTGGACCCTGGAAAGTGACCCTGCGGATCCGGGTTGCAGAAACGGTGCAAACCCTCAAAGAGAGGTGTGAGGACTGAACCTACAGGTAGCTCAACTTGTGGCTCGCGGCAATTATTTTGCAGCGTAGGGGGCGTGGCTCTAGAGTGGGCCGGTCCGCGCACGCGCGGCGTCTGGGTGTAGGGGGTTCCGGAAATGTGACTGAGAAATGAGATGGAGAAGTACGAGCGGATCCGAGTGGTGGGGAGAGGTGCCTTCGGGTGAGCCAGGGCTCTGGGGGAGGAACCCACTCAGGGAGAGGGGAAAGACACCCCAACTCTGTCCGCGAAATCTCTGCCCGGTTAGCCCCGCCCCGAGGCGTGAGCGCCCACTCTAGGAAGCCCCGCCCAAGCTTCCGGTCCCGGTCCCGGCTGGGCGACTTGGCCGCGGAGGAGGCCACGCCCCCAGAAGCCTATGAGGCCACGCCCCCAGAAGCCTATGCTCCCGCGCCGGGCTCCGGCCTCCGATTCCGTACTCGATTCATTCGATAAATGCTGAGCGCTGACTATACGTCAGGCTCTCGGCGCTGGGTATACAGTGAAGACCAAAACAGACGTGATTTTTCCTCTCTCGGAACTTACAGCCTATAGGAAAAATGTACAATAAAAGAACATTGTTAAAGCAGCTATTAACAAGCTGCGAGAACAGAGTACACCCGGTAAGTACTTATTTGGGGTGGTCAAGGAAATTTCTCTGAGAGGTGAAGTTTAAAGTCAAGACTTGAGGAATGAGGACCAGTCTGACGGTGAAAGCAGAGCTTTTCAGGTGCAAGAAACAGCATATGTGAAGGTCCTCATGTGGGGGAAAATTCAGTATTCAGGGAGCTGAGAAAAAGACTGGTACAGTTGGGATGTAGTGGGCAAGGTAAAGAATGCTATCCCTTTTTATTTTTAAATATTCTTTATTGATTTTTAGAGAGAGAGGAAGGGAGAGGGAGAGAGAGAAACATCCAGTGAGAGTGAAACATTTATCTGTTGCCTCCTGGCTGCTGCCTTCTGCACGGCACCTACCAGGGATCAGCGGAAACCTGGGCACGTGCCCTGACCAGAATCGAACCAGCAACTTTTCAGTGCACAGGACAAGGCCCAACCAACGGTGCAACACTGTCCTGGGCTAAAAAAAAATTTTTTTAATACTATAAAATGTGAGGGTGGCGACCAGATTCTAGCCTTATAAACTCAGGTAAAGCTGTTGAATTTATTTGCAGTGTAAAGGGAAGAGGTGTAACCAGAGGATTTCATCTTGATATAGTTGCATTTTAAAATATATCTTTATTGATTTCAGAGAGAGGAAAGGAGAGGAAGAGAGATAGAAACATCAATGATGAGAGAGTCATTGATCGAGCCCACAAGCCGGGCATGTGCCCTGACTGGGAATCGAACCCCGATCGCCTGGATCCTAGGTCGATGCTCAACTGCTGAGCCACGCTGGGCGGGGCCTTGATATAGTCGCATTTTAAAAATACCACTGTGGCCCTGGCTGGAGGGGCTCAGTTGGTTAGAGCATTGTCCAGCACACTGAAAGGTCTCCTGTTCAATTTCCAGTCAGGGCACTTACCCAGGTTTCAGGTTCGATCCCCAGTCTGTTGGGGCATGTACGGGAGGCAACCAATCGATGTTTCTCTCTCCCTGCCTCTCTCTCTCAAATCAATAATAATTTAAAATAAATTTTAAATCACTCTGGCTGCTGTATGGAAATTAGATTTGTGGTGACAAGAGTGCAAGGGACCATTTTAAAGGCTAGTGCAGTGTTTTAGGCAATAAATGATGATTTTACCAAGGGTTAGCAGAGACAGAGGAAAATGGGTGGATTCACAATATTTTGGAAGTAGAAACAGGATTTGCTGATGTGTTAGTGTGAAATTGAGGAAAGATTCTGGCATGATTTTTGGGTGTCTGACTTTAATAATTGGGGGATGGTGGTGTTATTTGCTGAGACAGGAGAGACTGAAGAAGGAAAGGTGTTGGGGCAGGAATCAAGAGTTTTCTTTTGAATTTGTTAAAATTTAGGATGCTTGTGAGACATTCAAATAGAAATGCAAAGTGCGTAATTGGATATGTGAGTTGGGCTCAGAGGAGAGGTGTGGGCTGGAGATGTAAGATTGATTCTTTGATGATCACCTTATAGTCCATTCATTCAGCAAATACCGATTGAGCTCCTACTATGTGCTGGGGTATGTACTAGGTTATGCACTGGGGATATAGTGGTGAGCAAGAATGAACAAGAACCTTGCTTTTATGGACACTGACCACAGACTTAAAGAAGATAATATGAATGGCTTCCACTCATTGAGCATTTTTGATGTGCCAGGCACTGTGCTAAATGCCTATACGCATTTTCTTATTTCATCCCTTCAGCAACCCATGTGAGGTCAATTCTTTTTTCCAATTCTGTAATCCAGGACCAGATAATTAGTAAGAGGAGGAACCAGGATTTGAACCCAGGCAGTTAACTTCAGAGTCTGTGGAAACTTAAAGAGATGAAGACTAACTTTGCCTCTTTATGCCTATAGTGAAACTGAGTCTCAAATAAGTTAAATGACTTGCCCAAGGTCACACAGAGCTTGTGGTCAGTCCTCCCCATTCCTAAACTCAGTGTTCTGTGCACTTAGATGACCTCTTAGTCTGGGTGCCATTCCCTTCTTAAGTCTAGTCATCAAGTCACCAGGTCTTCCCAGCGTGATATATAGCTGGAGGCTAAGCTGGTACCCACTGCTGTACTCTGTGTCCTTAGGATTGTGCACCTGTGCCTGCGTAAGGCGGACCAGAAGCTGGTGATCATCAAGCAGATCCCAGTGGAGCAGATGACTAAGGAAGAGCGGCAGGCAGCCCAAAATGAGTGTCAGGTCCTTAAGCTGCTCAACCACCCCAATGTCATTGAGTACTACGAGAACTTCCTGGAGGACAAAGCCCTCATGATTGCCATGGAATATGCACCAGGTGAGCCAGCCTCCTTGCACTGGCCAGTTCCAAGGGCTTCTCACCTATGGGACAGACAGACACAGATTAGCCAGCTTCCCTCCTTGGAATGCGCTTGGATGAGGGTCAGAGGTATAGAATTCTGACCCCCGTAGTGTGATGGTGGGAGGCCCTTGCCCTGTCTGGGAGTTTAGTTTCATAAAAGGGAAGTCTCAGGCCTGGAAAAGACTGGATCTTGACTCGTCCCTTGTGGCTGCAGGCGGCACCCTGGCTGAGTTCATCCAAAAGCGCTGCAATTCCCTGCTGGAGGAGGAGACCATCCTGCACTTCTTTGTGCAGATCCTGCTTGCACTGCATCACGTGCATACCCACCTCATCTTGCACCGGGACCTCAAGACCCAAAACATCCTTCTTGACAAACATCGCATGGTCGTCAAGATTGGCGACTTTGGCATCTCTAAGATCCTTAGCAGCAAGAGCAAGGCCTACACGGTGACTGGGCATGGAGGGGATCTCAAGGGTGCTAGAGGTTTTGAGGGTCAAGGCCCACTCTGCACCCCTATCTCCCACCCCACTCCCCAAGACCTTGACCCCTTAGCCCCTGGCTGGGTTGTCCTGAAGGAGGAAGCACTTTGGCCTGCTTGAGGGAGAAGCTGTCTCTAAGTGGCCCTTGGTCTGCCTTTCCTGAGCTGTAATATTAGCTTCCGTCCTGCAGGTGGTGGGCACTCCATGCTACATCTCCCCTGAACTGTGTGAGGGCAAGCCCTACAACCAGAAGAGCGACATCTGGGCCCTGGGCTGCGTCCTCTATGAGCTGGCCAGCCTCAAGAGGGCCTTCGAGGCTGCGGTGAGTAACCACTTCCAAGGGGACAACTGGGAAATCTCTCTACCCCCCTAAAGTCCCTGGTTCCACCTGTTTCTGTGATTCTTCTCTTGTGGCTGAATCAGGTCTCCCTCATCAGACTGGTGGATTACCCCGGGGCAGGGTCACAGCTTCCCTCAGACTATGAGTAGGGCTTGGGTTCCCCCTTTATTTATTTATTTATTTTAAATCCTCACCTGAGGATATTTTATTCATTGCTTTTCAGAGAGAGTGGAAGGGAGAGAAACATCAATGAGAGAGAGACATGGTTGCCTCCTGGACTCACTCTGACGGGCTGAGCTTGCAACCGAGGTACATGACCTTGGCTGGAATTGAACCCAGGACCCTTCAGTCTGTGGGCCAATGCTCTAACCACTGAGCAAACTGGCTAGGGCTTCCCCCTTTAAACTGAGGGCTCCTACGGGCAGTGTTCCCCCATCAGATTAGGGACCCTCCTAAAGGCAATACTTAAGTTTTCCCAACAACCCAGTGTTTCTGAGGACATAGCTGCAGTTCCCCTATCAGAGGTTCTCGAAAGCAGGGTTTGGATACCCTATCATTTTGGGAGTCCCCTCACCAGACTGAAGTCTCCTGAGCACAGGGCTATGACCACCCATCAGATGAGGGGCTAGGGCTGAAGCTACCTAAGAGCCTGGCCTGAGGCTTTGGCTAACCCCACAACTTGATGCCTTCACAGAACCTGCCAGCGCTGGTGCTAAAGATCATGAGCGGCACCTTTGCACCCATCTCTGACCGGTACAGCCCTGAGCTGCGCCAGCTAGTCCTGAGTCTGCTCAGCCTGGAGCCAGCGCAGCGGCCACCACTCAGCCACATCATGGCGCAGCCCCTGTGCATCCGTGCCCTCCTCAACCTCCACACAGATTTGGGCAGCGTCCGCATGCGGAGGCCTGTGCAGGGAGTGGGGGAGGGGGCCCTGGGCAGCAGGGGGCACCCAGTGGGAGCACAGTAAGACTGGTACATAGGGGCCCTCAGGGCAAGTCCTCCATTCCTGTGTGTGGGAATACCAAAGAGGGTCAGTCCGTGTCCTGAGGTTCCCATCTGTTCCGCAGGGCAGAGAAGTCCCTGGCCACCGGGCCACCCATGGCCCCTGGCAGCACAGGGAGCAGGACCACCAGTGCCCGCTGCAGGGGTAAGTCCAGCTGACCTGAGTTCCCGTTGGACACCATGCCATTCCCACCAATTTAATAGGCCTGATGAGCTGTCCCCACAGGTGTCCCCCGGGGACCTGCACGGCCAGCCATTCCACCACCGCTGTCATCCGTGTACGCGTGGGGTGGGGGGCTGAGCGCTCCTCTGCGGCTGCCAATGCTCAACACAGAGGTGGTCCAGGTGGCCACTGGGCGCACACAGAAGGCTGGTGTCACACGCTCTGGGCGCCTCATCCTGTGGGAGGTAGAGGATGCTGGNCCGGCTAGGGCTTCCCCCTTTAAACTGAGGGCTCCTACGGGCAGTGTTCCCCCATCAGATTAGGGACCCTCCTAAAGGCAATACTTAAGTTTTCCCAACAACCCAGTGTTTCTGAGGACATAGCTGCAGTTCCCCTATCAGAGGTTCTCGAAAGCAGGGTTTGGATACCCTATCATTTTGGGAGTCCCCTCACCAGACTGAAGTCTCCTGAGCACAGGGCTATGACCACCCATCAGATGAGGGGCTAGGGCTGAAGCTACCTAAGAGCCTGGCCTGAGGCTTTGGCTAACCCCACAACTTGATGCCTTCACAGAACCTGCCAGCGCTGGTGCTAAAGATCATGAGCGGCACCTTTGCACCCATCTCTGACCGGTACAGCCCTGAGCTGCGCCAGCTAGTCCTGAGTCTGCTCAGCCTGGAGCCAGCGCAGCGGCCACCACTCAGCCACATCATGGCGCAGCCCCTGTGCATCCGTGCCCTCCTCAACCTCCACACAGATTTGGGCAGCGTCCGCATGCGGAGGCCTGTGCAGGGAGTGGGGGAGGGGGCCCTGGGCAGCAGGGGGCACCCAGTGGGAGCACAGTAAGACTGGTACATAGGGGCCCTCAGGGCAAGTCCTCCATTCCTGTGTGTGGGAATACCAAAGAGGGTCAGTCCGTGTCCTGAGGCTCCCATCTGTTCCGCAGGGCAGAGAAGTCCCTGGCCACCGGGCCACCCATGGCCCCTGGCAGCACAGGGAGCAGGACCACCAGTGCCCGCTGCAGGGGTAAGTCCAGCTGACCTGAGTTCCCGTTGGACACCATGCCATTCCCACCAATTTAATAGGCCTGATGAGCTGTCCCCACAGGTGTCCCCCGGGGACCTGCACGGCCAGCCATTCCACCACCGCTGTCATCCGTGTACGCGTGGGGTGGGGGGCTGAGCGCTCCTCTGCGGCTGCCAATGCTCAACACAGAGGTGGTCCAGGTGGCCACTGGGCGCACACAGAAGGCTGGTGTCACACGCTCTGGGCGCCTCATCCTGTGGGAGGTAGAGGATGCTGGGATGTGCCCGGAGTGGGGGGAGGGCATACCTTAAGGAAGGGGGTGCTTAGGTTCCCTGGTCCCCTCCGCAGGCTCCTCCTCTAGGCATCGGTGGTGGCCCGCTCCTCCCTGGGGCAGTGGAGCAGCAGCAGCCCCAGTTCGTCTCACGTTTCCTGGAGGGCCAGTCAGGTGTGACCATCAAGCACGTGGCCTGCGGGGACCTCTTCACAGCCTGCCTGACTGGTTAGTGTGCCTGGAGACTACCCTGTGCAGGGAGTGGGGGAGGGGGCGATGAGAAAGTCCCCCAGAGCAACTTCCCTCTTTGCCTGTCACTTACAGACTGCTCAATAATACTTCTATCTATTAGTTATTAAGCACCAAGGAATTACTTACACAATCTCTTACCCTTCACAATAGGCCTGGCAAGGTAGTTATAGTATCCCATTTGACAGATCTGGAAGCTAAGGCTCAGAGGCTAAGTCACTTGTCCAAATTCATACACTTCGGAAAAGAGACCCCTGTCCTTATCTCTCCCCCTTTTCATCCAGCCTTGGCCTCCACGCAACTTTTTCGTGCTTCTCCAACCCAAGGTTGGATGGGTCCATCTGGAAAAACAGCCTAATCTCTCTCCCTTTCCTTTCCTCACTGCCCCCTTTCAAGACCGAGGTATCATCATGACCTTTGGCAGCGGCAGCAATGGGTGCCTAGGCCATGGCAGCCTCAATGACATCAGCCAGGTGGGTGTTGCATGTGCCTTGGGGAGGAGGAAATAGGGGAGATGGCAAGGAGCCTGTCTGAGAGCTGACACCCAGGTTGGGGACAGGGGAATTTTCAGCAACCACAAGTCCCTCTAGCTTGCAGGCTGCACCTATTCTGGGAAGCATCAGGGGAAGTACGAAAAGACCAGGCTTCCCCAATGGTTGCTGTGGTTGTGGTGGTGGTGGTGGTGGTCGTGAGCTAAAGAAACAGTCATCTCATGAGAATTTGCAGGCTCCAACTTTGTCCCTACAGGGGATGTTGAGTCCAGGCCCCTTGCTCACAGTTTCCTCTCTTTCTAGCCCACCATTGTGGAGGCCCTGCTGGGCTATGAGATGGTGCAGGTGGCCTGTGGGGCCTCTCATGTGCTGGCTCTGTCCACTGAGCGAGAACTATTTGCCTGGGGCCGTGGAGATGGTGGTAAGCTCTCCACCCTGTTTCAGCCTCTAGCTGCATCTCACAGCAACCCGCAGCCATGATTTGTTCCCCTTCGTACCCACCTTCCACCCATTGGCCCATTTTCTCCTCCCTCTTTTCTCTCCAATTCCATTCATTTATTCACTGAGCAAATCTTTACTGTACATTCACTATGTGCCCACCCTGTGCTGGGTGCTAAAACAAGATGAACAAGATACCACTTCCTTCAGGTACTTTCTGAGGGAGATTTCATCTGGGTCAGGCATCAAGCTGGGCATTGAAGCTAGAGATAACTTGGGGTTCCTGTCCTCTTGGAGGACACTGGTGGGGGGAGGGATGATGCATCATCATGACAGAGGACAGACAGCATCAGGGCTCCACCCAAGGCCCAGAGGTGTGGGAATTCAAGCAATGGCAAGGGACTCCACCTGGAGGTGCAGTGGTAGCAACTGAACAGGGCTTTAAAGGAGGAATAGGATTTTGACCCAAAGAGGAGCCAAGGACGGGCAGCCTTCACTCACACTGTTACTGCCTCTCCATGGGTCCTCATCCTGGCATCACCAACCCTAAAGCTCAATCTAGCCCCATCCTGGTTTCTCCTTATAGGCCGTCTGGGACTAGGCACCAGGGAGTCCTACAGCTGCCCCCAGCAGGTGCCCATGCCCCCAGGACAGGAAGCCCAGCGGGTTGTATGTGGCATTGATTCCTCCATGATCCTCACTGTGCCTGGCCGAGTCCTGGCCTGTGGGAGCAACAGGTAAATAGGTGCCCCAGGATGACTAGACTGCCCCCTTGCCATATTTGGCTCTAATGCTCCATCTGTCATTGCCTATCCCCCACCAGGAACCTTGGAGGGCTGAGGGTGCTGTGGGTGGGATCTGTGTCCCCTGTTGCATTAGTTCCTGCCTGTGTCATTTCGGCATGGCTGCTGGCTCTGCCCTTAGGTTCAACAAGCTGGGCCTGGACCACCTCTCCATGGGGGAGGAGCCTGCCCCCCACCAGCAAGTGGAGGAGGCTCTGAGCTTCACACCACTAGGTTCTGCGCCCCTGAACCAGGAGACTCTGCTGAGTGTGGACCTAGGCACTGCTCATTCAGCTGCTGTGACTGGTGGGTAGGACCTGGACAGGGAGGTAGGACAGGGACTCTCCTGGCTTCTTTGGGACCTCAGTTGAGGCACCCCTTTTCTTCCTTTCCTCTCTCCTCCCTTACAGCCTCTGGTGACTGCTATACTTTCGGCAGCAATCAGCATGGGCAATTGGGTACCAGTGCTCGCCGGGTCAGCCGGGCACCCTGTCAAGTGCAAGGCCTCCAGGGCATCAAGATAGCAATGGTGGCCTGTGGGGATGCCTTCACTGTAGCCATTGGGGCAGGTGATTAGTGGGCACTATGAGGGCAGATCAGGGCATGGACAGGCCCATGGGCAATGGGGGTTATGTGGGGGCTACGGCAATCTGGGAGGACAGCTGCTCACTAAGCTGTGTCCTCTCCCGTTTCCCTCTCTGGGATTCTCTCTGGCAGAAGGTGAAGTATATTCTTGGGGCAAAGGGGCCAGAGGTCGACTGGGAAGGAGGGATGAAGATGCTGGACTCCCTCGTCCAGTGCAGCTAGATGAGACACACCCCTACACAGTGTCTTCTGTGTCCTGTTGCCATGGAAACACCCTCCTGGCTGTACGCCGTGAGTTATAACTTTTTCCACCTCACCCACACAGGGTTAACCCAGCCGGCCCCTGCCCACACCCCTATCCCCAGTGGTAACAGCCCAAATCACTAAAAGCATCTTTAGCCCCCCCCAAATAAATGAAAGCAGAAGCTGTGGGATAAAACTGAGTTTCCTGCCTGGGGTGGGCAAGGGTGGGTAATTCTGGGCCTCATTGAAGAGCTGCCTTCACTGTTCCCCGGGGCCAAGTGCATTCTTTCTCCTCTGCTGCCTAGTCCAGTTTAGTTTGAACCTCTAATTCTGGTCTGCAGGTTCAGGGCCCAGTGTAGAACTGGGAACAGAAGTGGATGATGCTTGTTGGAGGCTCTGTTTCTGGGAGGCTGCAGAGGTTTCTCTTTTGTATTCTCTAGCTGTCACAGATGAGCCAGCTCCCCCGTAAGGCACCTGGATACACGTCTGGGCCACCCTGATATTGCTTCTCTGAATGTTCTTGAAAAGTACAGGTGCCTGAAGCATGACTGTCCCCATCCGCGCCCCCTGGATTATGTCTAATGGGGTTTAAGAACTAGTGAAGCCCTTGCCCTGCTTCTGGCCGTGGATATGTAAAACTCAACCCACCCTATTCCCCTAACACCTCTCTTTTCCCTCCCCATTCCTTCTTAAGTCAACGCCCCGAGGGTCCAGCTTGGCTAGAGTTGGAAGCCAGACCTAACCCTTGGAAGCAGGGTGGTCTTCAGAGCCTTGACAGAAAAAGGCTGGAGGTGGATGTGGCTCTACTCAGACGGTGCCTCTTTCCCCAGCCCGGTTAGAAAATGCATCTCTGGTGCCCACTAGGACAGCAGCACAGTACTTTGGAGCAGGTCAAGCTGGGGCCTGCCTGGAAGGCCATTCCAGAGGTCATTCCAGCCGCCTAGCCTGTGCATTGCCTGGAGCAGGGAGGTCTGAGGGAACTGCAGTCACCCGCCTCTCACCCTTTGCCATTCCTCCAAAACAGGTTGGGGGAAAGGGTAACTGGCTGGACCAGACCAGTTTCCAGATGACTGGGAAGTAGAGCCAATAAAAACATCAGCTGCCTGCCTAGAGTGTGGTCTCTTCAGGAGGGGGAAGTGGCTGCCCAACACCCCAGGGTTGGGCTGGGCCCCCGATCTCAGCTGCAGGGCCGTGGTCAAGGAAGGAATGTGGGCGCAGCCTAAGGCTGGGGCCGAGTTTCCTCTGGCCCAGAGCCCAGCCCTGCCTCCCCTCCCCAGCCGGGATCCCAAGATCTGGTTGCCAGGCTTCGGCTGCCTAGCACCTGGAAGCTGGAGTCCCGGGCTCCGGGGCGACACGTGGCCCTCGAGACGGAGCTGTACACTCGGGAGAGGCAAACCTTTGTGGCGCGGCCCGTCCCGTCCCCCGGGGCCCTCTGGCCCATCCAGCGCCAGCTGCCCCCTGCCCCACTCCCCAGCTCTGGGGAGAAGCAGAGCCACAATCTCTCTTCCCAAGCAGAAAGAGGAGCCCCTGCTTGGGGAGGGGGCGAGCCTGGCCAAGGGCCAACCTCGAAGCCACGCGC